TAAATTAGGAATTAAATATTATTAGAGATCTTGTCTTGTTGGACAAGTTAGGAATAGGGTTTTGGAGTCTTATTTAAAGGGCCCATCATATATTATTTTAGTTAGTTGAATCTATATAAATATAAAAAGGTTTGACATTTACTTTAAAAAGCAACTGAAATCCCGCCAAAAAAATCATTTTTTCCTTTATTAGTAAGTTTTTTAAAAAAAAAATTAGAACTGGCGGTCATCCTTTTGAAATTCAAATTGAAAATGTAAACAAAATCTGTATAATATATATGGTCAAAAATTGCGGGTATGATCATTTTTAAATATGGGTGATACACGAATTAAATAAGTAAATAAAATCTGTATAAATATAAACTTGGTCCAACATTGCGGCTGAATGAATATGGTTTTAATTTTGCACGTGAAATCTATACAAAATAAATTCAGTCAAAAATACAATAAAAATCTTCAATACAAAAAATAAATATTATTTATACATAATTTGGTCAAATACAGATCTTCAAAATTTCCTTTGCACGTGAAGAACAACCAAATCTGCAATTGAATCAATGAAAATCGGTTGATTAATTTGTGCACATATATCACTTTGCAATATACAAAGCAATATATTTTCTAATAAATCGTTGTTTTAGAAGTAAAATCCGCTGATTTTTTATTCTAAACACGAACAAAATCTATTTATTTAGGTGATAAAGATTAATTTCAAAAATTCTAATTGATAATTTAATAAGTAAAAAAATCTTAAAGATCTCATGAAAGAAAATCAGGAGTTTCCATATTACAACCAACAAATTAAAAAAAAAAAACTGTAATCTAAATCTCCTGTAATATCTTAATTGATTTAGTTAACTAATTAAACATACATCAACGTCCCTATAAAAGTCCCAGCGCATAAAGTTAAATTGTCATCCACACACACGAAACACACTTTTATTAGAAAGCAATTTTGCATATTCATCAACAATGACCAGGCCATGGGGTTTAATCAAGCAAGTCAAGAGGTTAAAGAGAGAAACCCATTGAGGTAACAAGCGAAATCAAAATTTTGTTGTTCGACTGAACACATTCTTAAGAGTACTAATGGTAGAAGTAAACTGACATTCTTAAGAGTACTAATGGTAGAAGTAAACCGGATCTCACCAATGAACAAGGTATTTTCACCCTAATTGGTTGATTTACTTGTGGCTTTTTGTTTGGAGATTTACCTGTATTGTATTGTCGAATGTTTCACCTTCCATGTTGTTGTTTCATATATTATAGTCCTTCCTGCATAGTATCCTCAACCTCGCACAATTACAAAATTAATGTAAGAAATGTATACATTTTTTTCTAGAATCATGATTAAATTATGTTGACTTTATTTCGATAACCTTATTGGTTCTCCAGTTGTACATTAAACACCTTTTCAGTTCATAGGTGTATATCTTAGTATATGTAAAAAGTATATACATGTGTACTCTGTTTTGTATCAAAATAATTTATTTGTTCGATTGAGATCAATCTGTAATGATCAGTTTATACTATAAGCATAACCAAATTGCGGTAGTAAAACATTGTTGAAATTTTAATAGAAAAACGTTAATAATTTATAAAAAACACTTACCAATCAAACACAGCTCATGTTTTGTCGTGCTATGTAATAATACAGCCCATTGTATTCGTCCAAGTTCCTTGATACTTATCCATGATTCTCCTGGGAACAAACATGAAACATTTGGTTAGAATGTATTAGTTGTTCTTAATTGTTTATTCTTGATATCAAATGAACTTATAGTAAATATGTACCATAATTGTAAGAAGAATCAATTCTAGATGCCTCAATTCATGCGAAGACAAAAAAAAAAGTATATAAAATGTGTTATAATGCTGAACATAGTGAAATTTTGATAACTAATGTATTGAAACATTGGTTAGATTGTTGAATATATGATTAATATTAGTCAACATTTTCATATATATCATCGTATCACGTACCTTACTACAGTATGTAGCAACTTTATTGTCCTCCTAAAATGTTACAACAGCTCATTGTATCGTAGGGATCCACCATATAACTCAATGTTACTCATGCAAATCAAAAAATATTCATCAGAGTACTCAATGTTTACTCAAGTGGAATTGCTCCTATCATCCAAGCATTAAATTAAACATACAAATATTCTTATAGTCCGACACTTTAAGTCTTGCAGAAAAACATTGTACATAACAGTGATGAAAATACTAACACTGACAAATTACAATTTAAAAATATAAAAACTAAATATAAAAAAAAAAAAATCTCACAGGCAAGTACAGATCTGTTAATCAAAAATCAATCTCAACTTCTACAAGCAATGAACTCGAGAGTATACTCAAACATCATTTGTAGACCAAAATTACAAAAATCAACAAGGTTCAATTTGTTCAATTAATAGAATATTGTTCACAATACAATTTTTTAAAATATATCAACACGTATATATAGAATTTAATTGATTAATACCTGATGTATTTTTCTCAGCATGTCATGGATCCATACGAAAATGATGAATCTGTTCGTCAAGAAATGAAAAATAATAATTTTTCATAATTTGACGAACATATCTAAACCTTAATCGTCGAGATGACAGACATATCAACGAACGAAAGCCTGTGGTGTCGAGTTTCCAAATCAATAATGATATTTTATTTGGAAATCTCACTTTCGGACAAAAATTGGAAAGAAGATAGAGAAACACGAAGAAGAAAAGGGGGATGTGGTTTGCGGCGTGAAAACAGTATCGGGTGACAATGAGCCCAAAGAGAAATTTTTTTAATTTTATACCTCATCTAGATCAATCTGAATCGTCTATTTCATTGTCTTAACACCAACCGTTCGATCAAACTAATGTGTGAGAATGGGCTGAAATTTCTCACGGGCTTTAAAAATTAAAATAAAAAGTCAGTCCATTTCTATTGGCTAATATCCTGACCCAATTTGAATAATATGGGTCGAAGCTTCCTTCATCTTAAATACAAAATTAGCAAAAAACTGAACATTAAAGTTTTTTATTTCAAGAAAATGATTGTTGACATATATGCACATACACAACATATGTGTGTTTTAAATTATATTTGTATAAATTATTATAATACTAGATATTGATTTTCATATAATACTAAACATATTTGTTACCAATAATTCTAAATGTACAATGTTTTACAGTATTTTACATTTCCGATTGGAAATTAAAAAAAAAAAAAAAAAAAAAAAAAAAAAGTGGTATGCAATCACATTGTATGAAAATTTTAGAAGAGTTCCATAATAATTTGCCATAAGATATTGATGATAATTCGACAAATTGGTATGTATTCCTCTTGAAAAAAAAAAATCTCTGAGCAAAGATTGGTTAATACAATCTAAAATCTATAATTTAATCTTAGAGAATTAGTTGATAAATTCGAACGATAAGATAACTGACGACAAATCTAGAAATTTGCGAGATATGTGTATGTGTGTGTGTGTGTATATAATTAATTAAAAGACAAATAAATAATTATTCACTCTTACGGGTCAATATTAATTTGAACACAAATAGAATAGTCAATTATGTACAATTTACTGAAATACTCAATTACTTAAATTTTAAATTGGGATATTTTGTACAAAAACAAATTCATTTTAAATAATAAAAATATAAGTTTTATATTTATACCTATTATTCACATAGATTTTTAAATATATGATAAATATTTACCAAAATATTTATTTTATGGAATCACATTGTATTCAAATCGAATTTTAGAATAAAATTTTTAAAATGATACTTATTTTGAAATGAAAATAATATAATTTATTATCAATTATGTGCAGTGTAAGGGTTGTGTGCCAATTTTAAATATACACGTTTTATGTAATTTTGCACAATTTAAGTTTCATATAACATTTTCAGTAAATTTATATAAGTAAATTGTCTTAAATATTGATTCCATACTTATAACTTATAAATATTATTTCATGAGCATTTTCAATTTATAATATTAATGAATTTCTCTTACCCGTGCATCGCACGGGATTCGTACTAGTTTGAAATGAAATAAAGATATTGTTGAGTTTTACGTGTTGTACGAGAGAGTATCTCGTTTACTCGTATCTTTCCCATTCGTTCACGCTTTCCGCTACATCACTTTCCCTCTAAATTCGTTCAAACTCCATTGTTTCAAGAACCTCTAATATGTTTACAAACTAGGCCTCCCTTTTAGTCGATGGCTTCATAAATCGAAGTTATCTATATGGAGATATCACATTGCGTCAATTAAAAGATCAAAAAGGGGTGAATTCAAAAAACATAACCGGCTCATGTCAGAAGAAGATTAGTTGCTCATATTTGCATCTGCCTACAGATTAATCAGTGTGAAGGAAGCTCTCGTATGACGTTCCTTTTAGAATCTTGACTACATCTTCCCAATTCTGTATGTGCTCAAACAATGCTCCTTTGTGTATCTTCACCTGCCCACTACTTAGCTCCATTTTCGGTAAATCTAGAAAATCTAGAGCATCCATCAATCTCTGCAAAACATTCAAATAAAATAAATGTAAATATAACCCATCAAGTTCCAAGAGAAAAAAGACTTGCCTGTTTCATTTTATGATCAGCTCATGTGACACTTTCTGGCAAACTATTATGTTAGTGATCAGACATGAAACTCACGGTTCTATTTTTGACGAGGTCTTCATAATAAAGGACAATGTTCCTCGTTTTGCTAAAATTCTGCAAAGCCTCGAAAACCATCTTCTCCATGAGCTTTAAATCCATCAACAACGATGTTGAATTGATTGTCGGTTTATAACTTGAGAGAGTATCAGCCTACAATAAACTCGACCGAAAAAATGTTCGTAAACATACGTATGCACATATAATTCATTCATTTTCTTCGGTGTTTTGCTTTTTTTACCTCTTCATTCGAGTGTACATGTGACTTGTGGGTTCCGTTGAGGAGCTTAGCATAACGATCATGAGAATTGGCAAGCACAGAGACCATCCGGCGGAGCAAATTTCTGCGGAAAAGAAAAATTATGGATACGCCCTTGGTGTTAAAATAGTCCCGGATTTCCTTGTGGTGTTCCATTAAACCCTGCATTTGCAAAACACCAAGTCAAAAAAATGTTTTGTCCACCGTTCATTGAAATAGTATCTCTAAATGTGTAGATTGTATATTATTTAACTCATTATATATGTAAAAAAGATAAATAAAACAATATAAACTAGAAAATCTATAAATAAAATATAAAGAAAAAAAATCACGAAAGGTTGTGCTTCATAAGTAAATAAAGTTACTAAAAATATAAATTTAATTGTCAGACAAATTATTTCATGCTTTTAGAGTTATAATAAAATAAAAATAAATTTGTTTGATCAATTATCCAACAATACACAAATAATGGATTTTTATTAAATTATAAGATTAAGAAAATAAATAATTTTCTATAAATGTGTAAGTAATAATGTATACAAATATTACATTTAAAATTTTAGGCATTTACTATATTTTATAAACTTGTAAATAATCAAACATATATATGAAAATAATAAAGTACAAAAAAAAAAACTTAAAGTAAAAGAAAAAAAAAGTAAACAATAAAAATATATTGTCGAATATACTTGACATACTATTTTATATAATTTGGCAATATTTCTATAATAAAGTACTTTTTATACCATATTGCATACATCGCGTGGGTATTAATTCCAATTTACAAATTTTTGTATGAGGTAAACTAACCATTAGGCTGGTCAACTGCTACTACTCTATAAACAAAAATACATACTTAAAGTATCAAATGTCATACTTTTTCATACTTCTGTGTATGATATTTTTTAAGTATGACATATTTTAATAAAAGTATGTATATTTGTGAAAAAAAGTATGTCTACCTAATTTAGCTTAAGAGAAAGTGTCGAATTATTAAATTAAATTAATTATGGTAAATGCATTTTGAAAAGTTTAAAGTCAATTTTTATTTTGGTCGAGTTCCAATAATCAACAATCAACATGATGCATAAAAGCAAGTCAATGTGGTGCATCAATGAGTGTGTTTCTTATATATAAAAGTACCATATTTTGGAGTTATTTATAACCAAGTAAAAAATAATTCAATAATAAAATTTACAATAGTTCATACTACAAATTCTTAGCTCATATCTAACCTGATTAAGCATCCATTTGAAGCCAACTGCAGCAGAGCAATCATTCTTTGAGGCACTACTGAACCAATCCAAGTTGTAAACTCTATCCATAGTTGACTTAATTGTCGAAAAGTTGCTCCGCCTCTCCTTGTGAGAAAATATCTCGCCATTTGAGCTCACATTAGTGTGGTTGTTCAAAAGGGTCTCAAACCACCCGCTTCCCGATCTTTGCATCGACAAAATGGCAAAAAGCCGCACCGGATTACAGGCACATTCACCCCTGATTCCATAAGACAATATTGTTTGGATCATAGAACAATTGTACAAGAAAACTAAGAAACCCCTTAAGTATATGTACTTTCACATTATGACAGGGTTTGTTATGCAATATACTAAAAACTCGAGGGTAATTTTGCAATTCATTCATCATCCTTCAAACAAAAGTAGAACAATAATTACCTGCTGAATGAAGTCGGCTTGGGATAGTGTAAGTAGGGAGTGTGAGATGCATTCATGTTGTTATCATCTTGACAATGCCTCTTCTGACTAACTTTGAGGTTTACAAGCATAGTACTAGTCCGAGCACTAGTTTGCTTCAAGCAGACAGAACAGATATAAACACCACAAGCCATTGCGAATACTAAGACCAACATCCTCAACGAAGCCGAAGATTTCTTGGGAGTTTTGATGATTATTATGTCCTGTCAAAGAATTCAATCTCACACTCACTTTCTCCTCACTCACTTTCAAGGTAGTTTTTTGTCCAATTTATTCCTTGAATCAAATGAAATCAATAGTCCGTTTACAGAAACTATGGCACCATAATACTAAAAATTTAGAAAAATTACAAAGAAACAACAATAAAATGAGATTCAAAGTAGCATAGAGTCTGCAAAAGTTAATTGTTTCTCTTGACAAGAGTAAGTACAGAAAACAACAAGAATCTGATGAGGGCAGAATGGCTTGCAAAAGTATTGAAGAAGAAAGAAGGAAAAAACTAAACCCTCCCAAATTAAGTGATGGAAAAGACTGCAGTCCCGTCACGGAATGGTCCCGTGATAGATTTTAGCCATAGATTATCTATAATAACTAACTTGCATACAAATCTAAAGGCTAAAATCCCTCATGGAACCATTTCGTGACGGGACTGTAGTCGTAATATAGTCACTAAACTCATTCAAGCTTACCCATTTTGAAGAATTCAAATCAAATTTCAAGCTGACTAGAGGATTAATGAACTAAAAAAAAAAAATCCTTGAAAGAAGGTTATACAGACTGATAAACCCACAAAATTCAGCACTAAGTAACAAGCTTATTTGCTCCATTTTTGAGCTCAAAAATCAGAAAAAAAAAACCCACAAAATAAAGCTACGACCTTTAATGTACCTTTGTGAATAAAGAAATCTCTTCCGCCATAGTTAATTCCCAGCAACACAGAAAGAACGAACCCAAAAAAACAAAAGGGCCTTTTTTTTTTTTTTGTTTTTCCAGAAGAGCTAAAAGATCTCTTCACTCTTCACTCGAGTATGTGTGAGTGAATAATACATCACGAAATGTGCAATTAAATAGAGAAATGCAAATGCACTTCTGAAGTTCCTCGTTAGGAACAAAGGCAATAAATGGCCAACAGCTGGGAGCGCTCTTCCCTCTGCAACTCCTCTCTCTCTCTCTCTCTCTCTCTCTCTCTCTCTCTCTCTCCTTTTATATTATTTGTTCAGAATTTCATTTTTCTCTTACACTTGTAATAACAATGTCGAATTAAAAGTTAGGTAATAATTAAATAAATAAATGCATACATAAACATGTTGATAAAAAAACTTTCCGAGTACCAACAGGAGTTGGCTCAAGTGGTAAGCATTTTGATGTTGCTTAATTAATGTATCGGGTTTGAGTCTTTGTAAATGCAGAAAATCCTTGTTGGGAGACTCACCCACCATTGCCAGATGTGTGACCCGAGTCGACCAACGGATTAATACGGGCAACGCTCCAATAGCTGGCTGACTAAAAAAAACAAAAAAAACTTTCCGACCACGCGTAGGTATGTACTAAAAAATACTACTTTTTGGTGGGTTGGGGAGTTTACACGAGAGTCCGAGAAGAAATGCCAACACGATATTTTCTGAAAAAAGGCAAAACCCATTTGGCAAAATTGCTAGTGTGAGTTGGCAGGTTTCACCAAAACAAAAAGATCTGTGTAGAAGAAAGTATATTTAGATTATACAATTTTGCTATAGAGCCATCGGCTCGGTTTATAGAGTCCTCAATAGTTATTCACAAATAGTGTACTGACACGTACTCTACAATAAATACACTTTGAACATGTGTCAATACATTAACTGATTGATGGCTCCGTAAGAAAACTATCTGATGGCGCTATAGAATATTTGTTAGACGGTTATATTATAATCGCATTATCCAATTTCCTTTTAAATGAGCAAGTCATCTCAACAGCGTATATCCAAACACATAATTACAACATGCTCAATAGCCGAAAAGGGGGCCTACCAAAGGTAGCCTAAATTCTACAAGACAACACTACAACCCCACAAAGACCTCCCAACGAAAGAATACAAACTCCCCAACGGAAGAATACACATTCTCCAACGGGATAATAGACACTCCAAAAGTGGATAAAAAAAAAAACAGACACACACTTACTACAGAACACAAACAAAACATCAAAAACACAAAGATAACTAGAATAAAACCAATCCCACAACAGCGAATCCAAACCGAACAAAATGACGTGGACACCTACGGGCAGCCACCCGCATGGACGGAGACCCGGTCCAAGTCACGAAGCCAGAAACTGTAGAATCAACGCCTAACTAGAATCGAGACGACAACCCATGTCCTATCCGGATGGACAACCCCTAGACCCGCGACCAGAGATCAACAAAACAAGCTCCACCATCCCAACTCCGACGACCCAGGCCCAGGACACAAGATCCGACCCCAACTCGACTCTGCTGATACAACCAAAAGGCCCAAAAGCAGAGGAATTGGAAGAAGGAATGACACCAAAACGGCTCGATCTCAGCCCGACTACCGCCAGAAGAGATGATCGACGCCACAACCCTTAGTCTCAGGCTCGCCGAAAAAACTCGCTACTACTCAGCCACTAGGAAACCGTCGGCCAAATACCCTCCGTGGCGACCAGATAAAAGTCAAAAACCAGTTTGGCGACCTGCTGCCTCACCAGAGAAGAGGAAGCCGCCAGTCTGACGAGCCTTCAAAAGTCGGTCGTACGACCCGGTGACGGCCGCCGCTGAGATGGCCCAGAGTGGCCCTGCTGGGGGAAAGCGAGGTGTTCGACCGAAGGAGGGTTTGGTTGATTTGGAGGTTTTTGATTTTTCCTTCGAGGAGAGAGACCAGCATATATTTATAAGATTGCAATTTTGTTATATTTTTATAGAAGGAGTTGTAGTGTGTGCGCGGAGCATCTCCAATATGAATTTTGACATTATAATAAATCATTTATATCATTAATTTTTGTTAGTAATTTATTCACCGTATGTATTGCCATGAACTTTTTAATGGTGAGCAGATGACATTTATTGAGAACACTTTCTAATATCTAACATTATGTTAAATATGATAACTCATCAATTCATTTTATATTTGGTTTACTTTTTTTATTGTTCTTGAGACCAGCGTATATTTATAAGATTGCAATTTTCTTATATTTCTATAGAAGGAGTGGTCGTGTGTGCGCGGAGCATCTCCAATTTGAATTTTGACATTATAATAAATTATTTATATCATTAATTTTTAAAGTGTGTTAGTAATTTATTCACCGTATATATCGTCATGAACTTATTAATGATGAGCGGATGACATTTATTGAGAACACTTTTTAATATGTAACGTTATGTTAAATATGATAACTCATCATTTCACTTTATATTTGGTTTACTTTTTTTTTATTGTTCTTGTATTAATAACATATTATAATTGGTTCAACTATACATATAACTTCTCATTAATTGATGCATTGAAAATGTAACACCCCGTCTAAACTTACTAAATCGAAGTAAATTTTTCGCGCTATAAATGGAAGCACTGATTTAATTTTTGAGAAACTCCTATTAATTTTTCGAAAAAGTACTATAACTTTAATATGCGGAATGCTACTCAACTTTAATCTTATATCTTTAATCTTTACTATCTTTAAACTACTAGGCATGCAACCGAGTATAATTCATTACTCTAATAAGACGCCATAAACATCTCAGGATTTAAGCACGCATAGACTGAAATTCTGGATACTGAAATACTGAGCGCGGAAGCAAATGCAAGCATGCATCAAAAAAGCATGACAATTCAAACATGTTCAAATATACATGACATGTTTACTAAAAAATATCCTTGCTATGACCATCACCACATCATCGACTCACACTCCACGCTCGATACTGTCACCTGAAAAATGGTTAGTGGGGGGCGTGAGCATAAATGAATCAACGATGCTTCGCCAGAACCGACACCTAAATATACATCTAATATAATAGCATATCATGACATCGACATATATGCAAGTACTTACTAGATCCGCTGAAACGATACTATGATGAACATTATTCTAACGTATCGTGGATTATACATTCATCCAATAAATACTTAAATCAGCAAACTATCTATAGCTGCTACTGAACCGATTGTCTATAACTGCTACTTAACTGACCGACTATAACTGCTGTCCAACTAACTTCTACAACTGTTGCTCAACTGACCACCTATAACTGCTACTTAACTGATTGTTTATAACTGTTGTGCAACTGACTGAATAACACTGTCGCTCGGCTAACTGACTATAACTGCAACATTGCGAACTAAACATACCTCTGATGTGATAAACACATCACAACCTAAGCATACATCTAATAAGACAAAACAAGTCACAACTTAAGCATACATCTAATATGATAGAACACATCACAAAGGCGTGTAAAAAAGTGAACAGTCTATAATTGTTTCTCGATTTACTATCTACAACTGCTGCTCAACTGACTGTCTATCAATATTCTGATTTCAGATTGAGTTTTGAAGACAATGAGTTGGAACATCAATCAGCATATTGCTGATTGTTTTTCTTCCTGAAGTTACCTGGTATCTTTCCTTGGAACTTCTTTTTATGATTTTTTTTTATATGAGTGAAATTACGTGTAAGAGCAGATGGTCTCTTAGCAATTCCTTCAAAATAATGAGACTCACCATCAGAATCCTCTTCTTTACTATGTGTAGGAACATTGGTCTTCAGCGCCAAGCCTTTGTTTCTCACTATATCAAACCTATAGTTAATTTCAAATGTACGAAGGTCTCAAAGTAAGTCATCAATGCCTAGAGGCTGAATTCTCATAAAACTCTCAAGTGAAGTTATTTTCTCATAAAACCTCTAAGGGAAAGCTCTCATGCATTTTTTCACTTGTCTTGTCTCCAAAATCTCGTCACCAAGCATAGCGCCTAGGTTTACAAGGTCACAGAAACGAGCATAGTACATATCAATGGCTCCGTCTTTCTTCACATGAATTTCATCTAGCTCAGTGGTGATCCTTGGAAGCTTAAAAGACTTCACAGCATTGGTACCTCTGAGTTGTAGTTCGAGAATTTTCCATGCATGTATGATCATCTTATGACACTTTGGGTCGACCTC